GGAATAGGGGTGGAAGGGAGCACAAGAAACCTCTCAGAAATGGATGAATCTCCTCAGTTATGAGGCTGAACTTTTCCACCCAGGCCAAGACTTAAAAGTAAGTCTCACGCACAGGAAGGAAAAGGAAAGTTAAGGAGAATCATTCTTCCTCTTGGCTTCCCTCCCCACTTTGCAGAATGATTACAGTCCTTGCCCACAACCTGAAAGATCAGTAAACATTTTCCCCAACAGTTAATGAAATGCTTCCACAAACATGCACATTAGTAGCCCTGTTCCCAACTGTTAAATGTGGCTTTGGTTGAATGGTGGTGGTGGTGGTGGGTGGGTGGGTGTGTATGTGTGTATGTGTTGTGTTGTGTTTTGTTGTGTGATCTCGATGCTTGTAAAACGTGTTTTCAAAAACAAGCGTGATTTCTTTTGTGGGGAACCCTTGACTCCCCCACACCTTAAAGAGAGGACTGGAGGAGGGTCAGGCAGAAGCGTGGGAGAGGCTGAACTCACACTTACCTTTGAGCAGTGAACGAGGTGAGAGTGGATTTTGGCGCTTTGTTTGTTTTGTTTTGTTTTCTGTTTCTTTTAACAAGTCCCGAGTTCTGGGGACCCTGGAGGGTCCAGCAGGGTCCGGGTGGGGCCGCGCCGGCTGGGCGGAGGGAAGCGGGAGAGGGTCGCCGCGCCGGCCGCCTCTGGCCGGCAGGGGGCTCCTTCGCTCTTCTCCAGGCTCGGTGGGCTCAGCCCCAGCGGCCCGGGACTTGGGCGGGGCGGGGGATTTGGGGAGGGGAGGGCCGCGGGAGGAAGGCCAAGGGCTGAGGAAGATCTACGGGACAAGTTCCACAGTGGAGTTCCCCCAAAAAACCCGCAGAGCTTTCCCTGGGCTTCTTTAGACTTTGACGAATCCAGGAGGAGCTGGCGTTTTCCAGAACAGGGTCGGACCTTCGCCTCGCCCCTCTCCCGAATCCAGTAGCGCCGTCTTCTTTCCTGGCCAGGTTACGTTGGGCCGGGGCCCGCAGCATTCCCTTTGAGGGCGTGGAGAGGCCGGCGGAGGTCGCTGGCCCTGACCTTGGAGGACCAGAAAGGGAGCGCGGGCCCGGGGGTGCGGCGGAAAGCCTCCACTCCTGGAGCCCTGCTAGCGCCTGGGTGCAGACTACGCCTCGCACTTTTGGGTCTGCAAAGCGCAGGCCCATTTGGCCAGAAGAAGCAACCAGACCCCCTTTTGCTTCCTCTCCTTGATCAGAGATTCAGGGTGAAGGTTGAATTTTCGCTCCCTTAACTGTCTTGGAGGAGGCACGGGTCCGAGCCAGCGCTGATAGGCTGTGGCTGCTGAAACTTAAAGAGTAGATAAGATTAAAACAGTCTTTGCCTTGCTTCCGGGCTTCAGAGCTGCGGGAGTCGACCCTGGTTTAGCCCCCAGGCCAACCTAGGAGACCTGGCCTCTAGCGTTCTTAAGACCCTCTCAAAACTGCCCAAGAACTGGGACCTGTCGTTAGCTAACCTCGATCAAGAAGGCAATGTATCTAAGAGGGTCTCTCACACCTAAGTTTTTTGATCTGCAATGGTAGTGATAGCTTGGAATTTGTGTAAAGTTTCTTCCCTGGATGCCCTCTCCCAAATCCCCCCACACCTCACTTCTGCACTGGTACCACGCCCACTGTATTTCCATTTGAAAACCTCTGGAAACTTAAGCACTGTTAAGATGATCTCTCTCTCTCTCTCTCTCTCTCACACACACACACACACACACACACACACACCACTGTGGAAACTGAGTTGAGTCACAGGAAGCATATGAATAGGATTGGATGGTCTTTGACTTCTTAGGAATGCCTAATAATCCAAAATTCCGGATATAACACAACTACAAGGTTTCTAGGATTCTTTTCTGATCTTTTAGAAGCAGAGTGGTGATAGAAGAGAAGGATTATGTCTTTTAGGGCACTTGCTGGCAACCTGCTATGCCCAGTAGGAGGAGAACTTTAAAAACAATGTTTCTGGCAGAGTGCTTGCCTCACACATGTGAGGCACTGGGTTGGACCCTCAGCACCACATAAAAATGAATAAACAAACAAACAAACAAATAAAAACAATGTTTCCTTTAATTCATACTCAAAGGTCAATTGAAACACTGCCCCCACCCCCACACACACCCCTCTCTCTCTTTTGGATTCTAATTTAAAACAACTGTATTGATAGGCATTTGACAGGCATTTGAATCAAGACAAGTGAAATTTCAAGCTCAATAGCAATGTGTTTCTGTATGTACAATCATGTATAATCATATCATATATGTGATATATGATTTTGAAGGGGAAATGAAATTTTTTCTTTAAAAATATTCACTCAATGACAACTAGAAATGTCAGCTGCAGACAACCAGTTGCTATTCTGGCTACAACATGTTTGTGCATTTAGTAGTCCAATAGCCTTGTCCACTTGTCCTCTTTGCTTGGAGGAGTAATGTTAATTAATTGTAGAGGTAAATGTATAGATCTTAATGTATAGATAGTGTTTTCTTGAAAATGCAATAAAACACTCTAAAATGTAAGGGAATAGAAATAGGTGTTCAGGGGTTGTTTGTTGGTGGTGATTTTGTTTTTAGCTTTACTAAAATTATGACACAGTTATCCCCATATCTCCATTCTGGAGGATCTGGAAAAGCATCAGTGGTTAGGATAAAACATCATTCAAGAAAGCCCTAAGTCTTACCACTAACTTTGGTTTAAATCTTTTATGAGTATTCAGAATAGCTTTAAGATTGCAAAATGCAGTTTGTTTTACTAGCTATTTCTTCACATTGTTGAAATAATGTGTTTAAATAGACTAGACAAAATTCTTATTGATTGTTAATTTGACATTAGGATATACAAATTTTGTATACAATATTCAATTTTTCAATGTGATATGTATTTAAATAACAGGGAGTTTCATTGCTGGCTTCTTTACAATGCAATGTGAATAACCACATCTTTGACTTCCAAATATGAAAGATTTTTTCCTTAAACCTTCTGAAATAATTCTCACAAACATGCTCCTCTTTCTAATAATATGGAAAAGTTGATGCGATTTAATTTCTATTCTGTCAATTATAAGTTTATTTCATCTTGGCAAGGTGCTTTATTTGGAAAAGTTGATTATGGCTAAGGATTGTTATATAGCAGAAGCATAAAATAATGTTTCATTTCGTAATCAAGAAAAAAAAAACACCGTAATTGTCCCCGAATCATGTCAGCAGTGGGAAGAACATGAAAGAGTTTGATTTGAATGCACTTTATTGAGTATACCAAGAGCACATTGACATCAAGTAGTAAATTGCCCAGGACTACCTCTTTATCATTGGGAAATCATAATTTCAGTTCTGTCACACTTGTTTTTGAATTCTTCTGGTTCTTGTGGGAAAAGAGTGAGGGAAGATAGAGAAAATTATATTAAGTGCATCAAGGTGTTTTGTGGATCACAACAAAGTGCATGGTCTGCTCAATCCACCTAAATTCTCAAGATAAAATAATCAGATTTATCTTTCATGTTCATTTTCCCCAAAAATTTTATATACCTGTAATGAAAAAGCTTAATACATGAAAACAAAATTTAAAAATTGACTCTATTTAAATGTTGGAATAGACTAAATAACATGACTACCATCAATTTCCTGAGTGCTTGGCCAAATTCTGCCTGCACTTTCAGCCTAACCTGCAGGGGGCAATAGCTTGACACGAATGACAACAAAGATTGCTGAGCTATTACATTAGACTTGGATTTCAGACTATGACCCTGGAATGTTGTGTAGGTTGGAAAGAGTGCTTAATTAATGTATATTGAAACAAAAGATCAGGTAAATTGTTTGATTTGTCTTCAAGCTATATTTTTAGATTAATCTAATTCATAACTGCTAGGTTTTTTTTTTTCTTAAAGAGATTATCAAAGTTTCAGGAGACACATTCAGTTATCTCAAGAATTATCCTAAACACTAATTGTTTACTACAGAATTTATGAAATGTATGTTCTATTTTTAAAAAGGCAGCGGAATCAAAGTTTTGAGTGTTCACATGGATGACAAAACGAGAATAAACGTGGAATATTTAGAAGGGATAATAAAAGAATGTCACATGTCTAGATGATAAACTCCATATTCCTCCTTTAAAAATCTTATAATTGCAAATTGACGGGGGGGACAGTCACCCTACTGTTTGCAATATGTTTTCTTTCACATATAAAACATCAATTTTGAAAACTGGTCTATATTTAAATATCATGATGAACTAATAATAAAGTGATCTCTCTTTTATTCTTATTTTTATTACAGATAGAATAGAATTTATTGGTTATTGATAATCTACCCTCTCTCTCCCTCCCCCTGGGGATTTCCACTCCCTTCCCCATTTCTGTATCTTCCCCACCAACTGATCAGGAAAGACTGGAAAGAGACCAAAGAGGTTTTGGATGGAGGGAGTAATTGTAAAATTAAAAAAAAAAAAAAAAATCCTCTCCCCATCTCCAAACTGCAATCACACTTAATGGTTCATTATGTCAGTTTTAAATGATACAAAATGACTTGCCCAAAAGGCATCCTGATTTCAAGAAGTCAAAAGGATACCTGGCATTAAACAACCATGAGTCAATCCTAGTGGGATTAACTGGGCTGAGTTTCTATATACAGCACATGCTATGGATCTACTTTGATCACAGTAAGGAAAAAAAATGATAATAGATTTTTTTATAAAAGAATTGCTGCACAGGAGTGTTCCGTTTCTTTTATATGGCAGAGTTTGATCTTGATAAAAACCTTTTTAAACATCCTTTCCCCCCACCATGGTAAAGATATGGTATCTATTTTTGCTTTCTTTAAGGAAAGAATATGGGGGTTGCTTACACTAGGAAAGAAAATTTTATTCTCCAACACCCCCCCTCCCATTCTACTAAATCGTTTTAGTCGACATATGTTTGTTATCAGAGAGAGGTGCTGTGAACACACAGCCATTTTCTTAGCAGCTTTTTGACTGTATGTTACCATAGTCCCACAAGGCATTGGTCCTTTCCCATTGGGAAGTCATGAATAAGAGACTATGAAGCTCGCACGTCAGATCTTCCTCAATTAATCCACCATTAGCATGTTTGGGATCCACTACTGGATGGTTAACAGCAGCTTTTGTAACTGTATGCCGACCATACCCAGTTATGCTCTGCTAAAAATGAACTCTTTGCAGACCAACCCTCTCGGGCTGTCAGTGTTTTCCGTTTTCCTATTTTAACGTTTGTGTATAGTGGCAGGCGACAGATGGTGTAGATCAGATCGATTTGATTGCATTAGATGATTTTTTCCCCCCTTCTCCACTCCTTTCTGGAAGCTCGCATCAGCTGAAGGCTATCGCCTGGGACTCCTCGGAAGCGTGAGCAAGCCGCCACCACGCGAAGGCACTGGGGCACAGCCAGCGCGAGGCGCCAAGGTCCCTTCCCAGGGCTTGTTAACACTGTAACCCGGCACTCGGAGGGAAGCAGCTCCCGCTGCCCAAAGCCTACCTCACCACACATCAGATGACTCCCTGGCTTCTACACACAGTTGGAGTTCCGCTTGAAACCTGGATTTAGAGGGTAAGCACTTCAATCGAGATGGATTTGTGGACAGTTACTTTGCTATACCGCAAGACAAATCTCAGCAAACGTAAAGGATGTAGGATGTGTGGGAGAGGGAGACTATGTTTACATCGATAAATGTGTTTCTTTTTGTCTGAGAACGAGAGTATTATTCAGTAAAGATGTGTATAGTGTTTTTCCATTGATTGTAAAAGTCAACTACCACCCTCCTCCCGATTTTTTTCCCTCTCCTTGGTGTTTCCCCCCTTTCTACTTGAGAGGGAAGGAGAGAGGGAAAGAGGGAGGGAGCCAAGGGGGAGAGAGAGAGAGAGAGAGAGAGAGAGAGAGAGAGAGAGAGAGAAGAGAGGGAGGGAGGGAGGGAGGGAGAGATATTTCTGCTTTAGCTTAATTGGCTTATTTCCTCAAACCGATTGCTTTGTCGCGTTTCTTTATGTATATTTGGTTTCTAATTACCAAGCCTTTAACTGGGATGGGTATTGGAGTGTGGGGGGATAGGGTGGGAAAGTAGTGGGGACCAGCAGTCAGTCGCGGTGGCCTTGAGGGATTGAAAGGTGCTGAAAGCCCCCCTGGCAGCCAAACACACTTCTAGTTATTGGGGCGCGAGAGAAACGTAGATTCTAATAAACATGGCTTGCAGGAGTCGATGAACAAAGGTACTTAATGCGGACCTAAGCCTCCGCTGATATTGCTCCGCTAGCAGTATCTAAATATTCAAAAGCAAAGTGTAAGTTGATCAACAAACGCCCTGATAGTATTGGGCTTTTTCCCTTTTCTGTTTTTGTGTGGAGGGTGGAGAAGGGGGGAGGGTAGATGGGTGGGGGAAATCCGACAGCTTAAGGAGGTTTGAATTGAATATGCACCCAGCGGCAGTGGTCTCATAGGAAATGGTGTTCTCGTAAGTCTGGCTGCCCCGCCGAAGCACGAGAGCGCTTTGGTTAGAGCTCAGAGCGTCAGTTCTGCTGCAAGTGCTGCCGGCAGTCAGCCCGGGCTGAGCTGTCCACTCGTCCAGGTGCTGAAGCTGGTGGAACATTTGGGTAGGTAGGGAAAAAGCTGGCACTGCTACTTGGGTAGGAAAAAAGCCTATCAACTGCGTTTTTCTAGTTTTTTTAAAAACGTGTGAGTCTGTGGGTCAAAGTGCGTGCGTGTGTGTGTGTGTGTGTGTGTGTGTGAGAGAGAGAGAGAGAGAGAGAGAGAGAGAGAGAGAGAGAGATTTATTTTAATTGTGAAGAAGCTAAAGTAAAGCAGACTACTTAGGAAGCACTGAAAAGGTGAAAAGCTGTGTGGGTATTTGTGCTGTAATTCTGATGCACTGTGTGTTTCTGTGGTGTGTGTGTGTGTGTGTGCATGCTTTAACCATTTTTTGAATTAAAAACATTCCATTTAGTAAATCAAATCCTATTTTTATAATGTGTCTTGTTTTCCTTTTAATGGTAGTTGAGATTTAAATGGAAGAGTTCAGAAGCAAATGTACACTTTGCTCATAGACTATTGCATTACTTTCCCTAAGGGCTTTTGTTTCTAGGAGTTCAAGCTGAAGAGAACCTGTCAGCTTTCTGGATTTTTTTTTTTTTTAGCATTAAAGAAAAGCTCCACTCTGTACCTATGTTAGGTAATGGCATAAAATAGTGGCTTATTAATTTATTTAATTGGCATCAGTCTTGTTGTAAATGGTGTACTTAAGAGTTATCTGAAAATAACATAAAATAGGCTAGTAATTGATCAATGCTATTTTTTCTTTGAGTTATTTTAAGCATCAGACATTATATACTAAACATCTGCTCATAAAACCTAGAATTCATGTTGATTTTCTATTTGTAAGTAACATGTCAGGAAAATGATGAGTTGGTGTGCCTGGAGAAGTGTTATATTTTTAAAAATGATAAGAGCAAATACAACCTAAGTGCCTTGAATTACAACCAGGTCAGTTAGAGATGAGTTGTGGTAGTGGGAGAGATTCAGTTATATAATTACTTCTTGATGAAGAGCTATTTGCACTTACATAATTTGAGAAATCATAATCGTCTATTGCCATGTTTCCATATTCCTTCCCTATTCCACTCACATGGATGTACTTCCATGTATTTGAGAGTAAAGAGGAAAGCAAATTGAGAACTTTCTAATGGTGCTACAACATGTCTTGGGTAGTGACGTTGCACTTGTCCATTCTACTTAGTGAACAATAAACCCCTATTATCAGAATATCCACTGCAGGGTCTTAAGACAAAGCTTTCAAGTAAGAGCCATATTGATCATCAAAGAATCACAGAGATTCTCTCTCTGAATGCCAAAATTAGTTACTTTGCAAATAAGTTTCATTGGCTTTCTTCTGAAAATTATTTTTTATGCAGACAGAGCTTCAAAGGTTTTCATGTAAAGGTGTTCACAACAGCTGCACAGCATTGCATTTACACTGTATATTACAAGGATGGGCTGTGAAATTAAACATTGTGCTGGTACAAAACGATGCCTAAATCATAGAAACTCTACCAACTTGTCAACTTAGTGAGTTCAGATACTATGGAAAATGGGTTTAATTATTTTGTGCCTTGAAGCTTTATTTTTCCTCTAAAAATCATGTTGTATATAGCTCTAAGGCCTTCAAAGGAGAGATGCCTATTTTTGTAGATCTATAAGTATTTGATTTCAAGTAGTAAATTGAATGAGTGTTTATATTCTGTGATCTTGGGCTTGAGAAAATGCATTTCCAAAACACACTGCTGAAAATTTCATCCATGCATGACACTATCTTTATTTGAGCCTCACTTCTTCCTAAAGCCGTCTAGGCAAATACATTTGTAATATTTGTGTGCTTAACTGTGCATGTTTCTTACAGGGTTCTCTCGCTGCCATGACACTCCATCAAAGCACCTAGAGTGGGCTGGCTGAGACCAGAGTGGGCACGAAGTAGAGCAAGTACAGAGGAAAACACTGGGAAATCACCAGGTAAACTGAAGGTTGCTATCACTTCCACCCTGTGCCCAAACTGCCTTGCCACATTGTCCCTCCTACTTGGGTAGAGAGCACTCTTCTTCTGGGTTAAGTGCTTGGTTTTGTGATTTGTCTTTCAGAATTGGAAATAGAGCAGCCATTTGGATTTGATCAAGAAGCAGCCGAGCTCGGCTTTGGATCCTTCTTTAGGGAAATCGAGTTATGGATTTATGGTCCCGGTCAAGCTCAGCCCAGCCCCAGCCAGGGGCGGGCTCAGTAGCAAGAGTTCTGGAGGCAGCAGCGGCAGTAGCAGCGGCAGCAGCGGCAGCGGCAGCGGCAGCGGCAGCTTGGTCCTCTGACTCTCTTCGGTGACGGGTATTCTTGGGTGGATAATACGGATTACGTTGTTATTGCTTAAGAATACGCGTAGTCGAGGAGAGTACCAGCGGCAGGCGGGCAGCGGCCGCCCCTCCCAGCCCACCAGCTGGCCACTAAACGCCCGTGGTTGCCAAGGTAGCACTTGTGTTTTTTTTTTTTTTTTTTAATCTTTCCCTTTTCTCGGGTGTTTTTTTTTTTTTTTTTTTTTGCTCTGGGTCCGCCAGAAAGGCTGCGCACAGTATCCCTGGTGCCCCAGACTGTAAAATGGGTGCGCGGAGGGGGGCGGGGGACGTGGCGGAGGGGAGGGGAGGGGCGAAAAAGGAAGGTGGTCCGTGCAGCCGAGCCTGTGGGGAGATTTGGCGTTTCCCCCGCAGGCTAGCATCCCCGGTCTTGTGGGATGCGGCCAGCGGGTAGAGACGCGGACTGGGAGATTCTCTAAAGTTGGGAATGACTGAAAGGCCTTGAGCAGTTTGGCAGCGTCGTGAGCAAGTAGCTGGAGCTCAGCAGAGGGTCGCTGGGGGCTGCCTCCGCAGAAAGGGCGTGTCCGTGGGCGAAGGTGCCCCCGCGTGCTTGCCGAAGCTCGTGACTTCGCGAATCCCGGGCCGGGGCGGTGCCGGAGCCCCACCCCCGGCCGGCCGAGCCACTCCGCAACCAGACGTGGCGGCCAGGCTGGAGAGGGGCGGGGGACTGGGGGCTGGGTCCCCGCGGAACTTCCAGATTGGAAGTGTGTTGGGTCTCCCAGAAACCCAGGTTTTCTTTTCGGATTCTCCGCGAAGAGGTGGAGAAACAGGATGGGAACCGGATTGGTTGCACTGTGGCACGGAATTGGAACCTTCCTGAAAGAGGTTGGGGCAGGCAGTGACTGTTCAAACGTCCGGTATCTTTGGGACACCACCTCAGCGCTGCCTTCCCTGTCTCTGCCTTTAGGATGAGTCTCAAACACCAACAAACCCAAGGCACGATCTCCCTCTCGGGTTTGCTACGAGGGGACGGGAGGAAGAGAAAGCGTTTCCTTCCTTCTACTTCCAGTTTTTATTTATTTATTTTTTTTTTTCAAATACTAATGGACGATAAAACAATACGGATTTGTCCCCTCTTAGCGAAGAGCAAGCAACCTCCCATCGACTCCTTCCAGCATCCCTTGGCACTCCCGGGGACATCCGGACATGGCAGGATTTGAGATGCCCAAGATGGAGCTGGAAAGGATCCACAGTGGAAGGCGCGGGCGGAGGCTCTCAAGCTCTCAGCTCTCGCTGGCGGAGGACCACATAGCTCTGCAACTCGCCTTTCCGTTTTGCGAGGCGCCAGGGCCACTCCGGTGGTAGCACTTCAAAGGTGGGAGGAGACATGCTGGGTACAAGAATGTACCAAGCGCCCAGAAGGTTCCACCAAGCCTGGCAAGATACTAAGAACGAGTTTCCTCCCTCCGTGGTGTTATTTGGTTGTGTATGGGACTTCGAATACCCAGTTCCTGAGAAGTCGAACGAAGATGTTGGAGAAATAAGATAAAATTCGAAGCTCTTCCTTGCGGAGCCCCTGGACCCACTCTAAACTGAGAGGCGCCCTTGCCACCTTCTCCCTCTGGAGGTTGTGCCTTTCCCGGGCACGATTTACATCTTTTCCACTGAGTTCTTGCCCACAAGAGCAATCAGAACCCTGGAGAGGCAGAGTGAGAGGTCCTTTGGAGGAAGCAGACATCCTGGCATGCATGCCTTCCAGTGTCTCGCCTTTATTCCAGTAGTTAGGATTCCTAGTGAAGGGTACTCCACGCCCTTCTTCTCCCTACCCTCATCCTCGGTCCTACCTGGCCTTGTCTGATCCCACAGGGACTCTTGGGGTATCTGCACTCACAACCCTTGCTCTTTGGCAACATTGTCTGGAGCGGGGGGGGGGGGGGGGGGGGGGGGGGGGGGGGGGGGCAGATGAAGGGGAACCCTTTTTCAAATGCTCCCAGAGGCTAGTCCATTTTAAGAATGAGATGAAGTAGGAAAGAATACATAGTTGCTATCTTTGCACTCAGCATTCTATCACTAGCAAGAAAATATGAAACTTCTGTTGTTTCCTTCATTGTTTCATGATTACCCTCTTTATGTAGACATCCACTGATTGGTGGTTATGGGCCTTTAAATGTTGTTTTTGTTAAGTTTTTAACAAAATACAATATGTCTAATATGTCTACTGATGGCATTGTTTCACTGAAAACTAGAAAAGTAGAGAGAAGTGGCATAATCTAGTTCCAAGGCGATCTCTGAAAAGTTGGCCTCATCTTGGTTGGCTAAATAATGTGTGTAGGGTTTAAAGGCGGACAGAGATGAGGGCTTGCGTTAGGATTTGTGAAAAATGAAGTTGTACTAGTCCACCGTTTGTTGTGGGAATTAGGACGAACTTTTGAAAAATAAGCTACTTTTTTTTTCAGTTGTTTGGTTCTGGCACTTAAAGCTTATGATTTCAATTGCTTTGTAAATAATAATAAGTTTTAGAATGGAATAATTTAAATGCTAGTAATGAAATCTGGGTGTCTCTACTCATGGTAAACTAAGAATTTTGACTTTTTAATATAGTAGTTTAAATATTTATTGCTTTCTATTCTTCACATAATTATTTTGTTATAAAAGTTTCCATTAGGTGTCAGTCTGACTGAACTCATTCCTGTTTGGGGGCTGGGGGTGGGGGTGGGCAGGGTGTTTCACCAGTCCAGGTCTTTTAAAATGAGGTGGTGGGGGGTGCTTTATTACATTGAAATTACTGTAGTTAATTGTTTTTGTTATAATACAGTTTTTCCCTACAGAAAATAAGATTTTAAATTACATCATCACTAGCCAATTATTGCTTTTTCCCTGTCTGTACCCCATAACCAAGATGACAGAAGTGCCTAGTGCTTGTCTGGAGTTTCCATATTAGACCCAGGTCACATTTGGTAGTAATAATTGTTTTTCAGTTGATGTCAATTGATACCCATGTACTTGAAGAGTAGGCATCCTTTTCCTAAAATTGTCTTGCCTTAAAAAGGTGATAGAACATCACCTATCTGAAAATGAATATGGGTATATCTTTATCTATTCATTTAATAATATTATGGCATAATGGCGGGGAATAGAGAAAGCCACTGAAAATTATTTTTGTTCATTAGTTTTACTTAAATCAACATGCTAAAATTCTCAAGCTTTTATGAGCACAACTTATGGCTTACAGATGGAAGATTTTAGGTTTTACATCAAAATTTATTAATATAATGTCTATGAGCACTCAATTTTATACATTACTAGTATTAATTAATAGATGCACGATACATAATCTCAGTAGATGGCAAGGGTAAGGAGATTGCTAGAAACTGTGTTATACAAAGAATTTGCTTATTTTATTCTTTGTGTTTATGAATCAAGTACTGATGATTTCACTTGAATAAAATTACAGGAATAGTGGTATTCAGGATTAAAGATTCATACAGGCCCATCATAATTCCTGTGTGAATAAAAAAAATATTGGATTGATGACTTTGACCAAGTATGCTTTTAATAAATAATCATAACATAGAGTGAGGATTTTTTATTTTTTTAAGTTTTATTTATTTATTTATTTTTGCTAAAGCCATCACTAGCGCTAGGATGATGTGGTTCTTGGTGTCCCGGCAGTAACAGTCTAGAACCAAAAGAGCTCCCATTGAAAGTCTAGGCAAAGGAGAAAAATAATAAAATAGCATTTGATTGATGGAAAATTCCACGAACCTTGTTATCATTCTTTCTTATGTTCCACATTAGTAGTGGTTAATTTTCTAGTATAAAAATAGGAAATGAAGGTGGAGATGATGAGGATATCAGAAAATATTTTTGTGTATTATGTAGAACAGAAGGACTAAGGACATAGAAAAGATGGCAGTGAAACACCATCACAATTACCCACCATCTTCTCAATACCATACAGTTGCAGTTATCATTGTATCACAAAATTGACAGTGATATTCATACAATGTTAGAGAGTAGTATATTCTATATTTTAGATTTAGTGCTTGAAAATAAATTTCCTTTGAATTTTTTTCAGTTAGAAGAAAAAATAATATTTACAACATCAGAATGCTTGAAGCTTTTTAAAATTGTCATTTAGCTATTACATTTAGTTATTGATAGCAATACGACTACACACCTAAGGCTAAATAGGTTTTAAGAAATACTTTTGTCATATAATTTGTTTTTAAAATATTTCAAGAGCTTTCTCCTTGCATTTACACTTTTAAATCATTACTTATAAATCTAGAATTTCATTCTACAAAACATTTTGCATGAGTGTATAAAATAGGCCTTTAAATTAAGAAAACATCGCAGTTCATCCACAAAAGAATAAGATAAAAAAGAGATATTATGAAAATTTAAATTTCTTGAAATATGTTTGGTTGAGTGTGTTTAATATACACTAATAGAATCAATGTATTTCTAATGTTTGTATTGGCCAGATCACAAACTTGTGACTACCTAAATCTTTTGGGCTCTGTTACATTCTGGCTAACAATTATGTGAGCTAAGAAAGACAAACTGATCTTTAAAACCAGTAACCAGTAGTAGAACATATAAATAAGTGTAAAGACAACTCTTTTCATTTGCTTTGTTTGTGGTAATATCTTTAAAGATTCCATACCACATTAAAAAAAAACTAAAAACAAAAACCTTCTGTGAATTTAGTTGGAAGGATTTTAAATAAAACTTATCACATTTGTTTTATTAGCTTAAAATCAATACTGCATCTCATCCAATTAAATTTCAAAATACAAACATTTCTATAATGTATTTGCTGACAACTGACACTATATTCTTGATTTAAATATAATTTATATCATAGTAATCTTTTTTGAAAGTTGACAAAGTATCATAGTGACATAATTGCACAATTTGAAATCATGCCTATTTATAAATTAGTAAAATTGTGCTCTCAGTGCTGTTCTTATAAAGATTATTTTTATAAAAATGATATATAAGTAGAATATTGTGATTTTATTTTTAAAAATTGTATCCAATACATGAATGAGTACTAATTAATTGTTTGAAGTCTTTTTTTTTTCCTGCTGAGAAACTGTGGTCAATTTCAAGAATGGGTTGAAATAAGTCACAAAATAAGCTAAAACTTACTTATTTGAAGTAGTTTATCTCTACACACA